ACCCTCAGTAGAGTGCCATGGTGTCACACAGCTCACCGTAACTGCCAACTCCTGGGCTTAGGCAATTCTCTTGCCTCAGCCTCCCAAGTAGCTGGACTACAAGCATCTGCAACAATGCCCGGCTATTTTTTTTTGTCAGTTTGGCCAGGTCGGGTTTGTACCTGCCACCCTCGGTATAGGGGCTGGCGCACTACCCACTGAGCCATAGGGGCCACCTCCTAGACCAGTTCTTATTCGCATAAACACTCCTGGTCTCAGTTGTATGGATTATAGTCCTTGAATCAATGTCTTTACAACAGAATTAAGATTAGGGGCTAAAGATCAAGGTCTTCCTAATCTTGAGGAAGGACAGAAATCTCTTTTGGGAATCTCTCAGGAGGTTTTCACTGATTAGGGTAAAAGGTCAAACCTCGGTGGGCACCTGTGGCTCAAAGTAATGGGGCACTGGCTGCATAGGCCAGAGGTGGTGGGTTCAAACCCAGCCCCGCCCCCCCCTCCCCCCGCAAAATGCAAAAAGAAAAAAAAGGTCAAACCTCTCTAAAGATAAAGGGATATAGGGGATAACTTAAAACTTGCTACCTTCAAGATCTTACTAGCCAGATTCCCTACGTCATAATAAAAATTCATCCAGTTCTTATTTAATAGCAGGCTCAAGCATTGTTAATAAAAACATTTATTTTGCATTTTATACAGAACAACCTGAAGTCTGCATCATGACCTGACAGTTACCCAGGGGTTACAGTGTGTCCATCTTGACAAGTGTGGTTCTGGGGATTGGGGATCCACACAAACACAGGCAGGAGTTTTGAAGGAAGAAAGGGGCACAGCAGGAGTGTATCTCAACCCTTTCTCAAAGAAAAGGCAGGAGAGTATTGAGTCGTTGAAAACCTGTGCAAATGGGGCTTCTAAAACACATACTGTGAGCTCTTGGGGAAGAGGCAGGAAAAGGATGTTGATAAATACAGGGGCATCTTCTTGAGGCAGGAGATGAGAGGAGCTTACCACTTTTAATATCCTCATTCCCCAGATCTGATACTCAAAGGCATCCATGTCCAATCATGAATGATTTCCCTATTCAAAAGGGGTGCTAGTAACCCTGGGACCAGACTCTAAAGATATGATGCTGATCATTCCTAAGTCCCTGTCCCACAGCATATTAAAGGGCAGTGGGGATGATGGTCAGAAGGTAGTGGCTTGTATTCTGTGGAAGTAAAAAGCTTAGTTCACATTAAGCACTGATAAAACCCAATGACTGGGACAAACCACAGATCAGACAGATCTGCTGAAAGAGGTCTCTAATGGGGACCAAGGGGGGAAGGTCCAGAACACCCACAGACTGAGGTACAGCAGGTATAGAAAGCCTGGAAGAAGGTAAATTTTAAAGTAATGGGAAACAAAATACTCCCAGACTTTAATTTAATGAGATAATTTTAAAAAGTGAAAATTAAACACTGGGTGCCAGTCACAACAAATGCCATGCTTTTATGATCACCTGGTGGCATAAAAAAATTGTCAAAGCATGTCCACCTAACCAATAGGCTCTGCTAGGAGACATTTATGTGTATGGGATAGGGCTAAGGGGCTGGGTGCAGCTGACAATCCAACGTAATTCCTATGGAGCAGGACAAAGTCCTGGTTTACTGGATAACCGAGGGCTTGGTAGAGTAGAAGCAAAAGCTCCAAAGTGACTGCTGCAGACTCTGCAACCAGATGTGACCCAGGGAAAGAGGAGCCAGATTCTCACTCTAGACGTGGTGGGGAACCAAACCTAACCTGTACTACATGCGTTAGTCTTGGTCATTCTACAGTGAATGGGCAGTTCATACCAGGCAGGGGAAGGGAGCTGGTTAGGGAATAAGGGGTCACTTTTCATTATTTAAAGTTGTAATTTATATTTTAACCTCAAACATATTATCAGTGCCTCAGATACAATTTAATCTTAAGTCTTTAAAGGCCCCCTGAAACAAAAGTGTGTGTATACATATATACACACACACATATGTATATGTATATATATATACACATGTATGTATATATATATATGTATTTTAAGCTTCCTCACTTTCTGGTAGTCAGTTTCCTCCCAGACTTGTTTTACCCTGACTTAGAGTCCACAAACTTCATTAGACCATCTGTGCTCATGGACTTGGGCCTCTCTAGAGGGAATCCTAGGGCTCGGCTCCAGATGAGCTGTGCTAGTACACCCAGTGCCCGCGACACCCCAAACAGGACCGTGTAGTAATTCATCTCCGTCATGCCATAGTACTG